CGCAGCTCAGCACCAGGCGGTCCCCAAGTGCCACCTGTGCCGTGGGAGGCTGCGCCAACAGGGACACCCCCGAGGGCGGGACCCCTGTGGGAGGGGGACACCAGGGGACAGTGAGGAACCGAGGGATTTGGGGAGGGGCAGGGAGACCCCAGGGAGGGAGAGGGGGGCAGAGATGGGGGGGGCTTGGAAAGGAACTCCGAGGTTCGGGGAGGGGACACCGGGAGAGGGAGAGGGACGACACCAGGCAGGGATGAGGGGACCCAGGGAGGAATGGGGAGACACGAGCCGGGAATGGGGCATCTGGGAGGGAGCTGGGGTAGTAATGGGGGGACACACAAAAGGTGTCGGGGAAGGATGGGGATCCCCAGGCAGGGCTGGAGGAGCTGGTAAGGGATGGGGGGACCCAGGGTGGGATTCGAGAAGGGATGGGGGGACCTGGGACACAGATGGGGGACCCAGGAAAGGATGGAACGAGCCAGGGAGGGATGCGGGCCGTGATGAAGAGTGCTGGGGATGTTGTCAGGGAGGGCTGGGGATCCCCTGACAGTGTTGGGGGACCCTGGGCGGGTCCCTGGAAAGGATGGGGTGATTGGGGAAGGGATGGGAGGAAGGAGCTGGGGAGGACTGAGGGCACCAGGGCGGGACCTGGGAAGGGAGGGGGGGACCCGAGAAATGTGTCAGGCAGGGCTGGGGGTCCCCAGATGCTGATGGGGGTCCCCAGACAGGGACCCAGGGAGGCCCTGGGGGCTCCCCGTGCCCATCCCCGCACTCACTGCGCACCGTGACATGGAGCCTGGTGCTTCTCTTCCGCACGGCCCCCCCCTCGGAGCGCACCTCGCAGCTGTAATTCCCCGAGTGGGAGACCCCCACTTTGGGCAGCAGAAGCTGCGGGGACCCCTGCGGGCCCCCCACCACCTGCCCATCCTGGTAGAACACATGCAGGAGGGAGGCTCGGGGCCGCAGGGGGCTGGGGGTGCTGAGGCAGCTGAGAGCCAGGGGGGACCACTCGGTGGGCTTGGGGGAACCCTCCAGCACCGGCACCAGGAAGAGCTCAGGGAAGGAGAGGGGAGGTGAGGACGGTGACTCTGAGTCTGATGGGAAGTGGCTTTGGGGGTGCCAGGATATTGGAGTTCACGCTGTGGGGGTGCTCACCCTGCACTGTCACTGTCACTGGCAGTGACTCCTTCCAAGCCCAGTTTTCCATCCAGCCCTTGCAGCTGTAGCGGCCACTTTGGTGCAGCCGCAGCGGGGACAGGGACAGCTCGGTCCCCTCACGGAACCACCTCAGTTCTTTGCCCTCGTGATAGAAGGACACTGAGGTGACAGTGTAGTTCGACCAGCCCCGGCAACGCAGTGTCAGCGTGTCTCCCTCCAGCAGCACCCGCGCCGGCACCTGCAGCACCAGCCAGTCTGGGGGACAGAGGGGTCCTGTCACACCCCATGGCACAGGGACCCCCCATCGGGTCACACCAGCACACCAGGGTTCCCCAATTTCAGCACGGGGTCCCCTCAGAGCAGGGGACAGGCTCTGGGCACATCAGGGGGTGACCCATGGAGCGGAGCCCACCCAGAGCCCTTGGGGTTCCCATGGTGCCAGGCTGGGGACACCCAAACCCCTCTCACCGTCTGAGACCATCACAGGGGAGCTGAGCCCGGTGCCAGGTCTGTGACACTGGTAGGTGCCACTCTCAGTGACAGTGACTTGGTCTTGTCCCTGCTGGCCCCATCGCTTCCCATCCTTGTACCAGGTGGTGGCACTGGCGGTCCCCGAGCCCTGGCAGGTCAGTGTCACCTGGTCCCACAGCACTGCCGGCCTCCAGGGAGGCTCCACAAGGAGCTGGGTGGTCTGGGCACCTGTGGGTGACAGGGGACACCAGCCTGCCAGGGCCACCACGGGGCTGGGGACAGCGGGGTGGGGACATGGCATCCCCCGAGGACTCACCAGCGAGGCTGAAGGTCTGGGCTGGAAGGGAGAAGGGACAGGGCTGGGTGGGGGTGGCACTGTGGGGACAGTGCCACTGAGGGCAAAGGGTTTGTGTGCTGTCCCCAAAGTGTCCCCGTGGGGAGAACTTTCAGTTCTTGTGGGAAAGTGCGTGGGGATGGTCCCCAAAAGATTTGGCGAGGCACGGGGACATGTCTATGTCACAGCCACCACTGCAGCACATCCATGTGGCACAGATGCCTTGGGAAAAGGGACACTGAGGCCACCCTGGGCTGAGGCAGAACATGGGGACACTGTGGACACCCTGGGCACCAGGACACCACGGACACAGCCCTTGCTGGCCCAGGTCACCCCCACCAGCTCCTGATCCCATCCCCACAGCCACATCCTCACCCCTCTTGTCCCCTTCTGTCCCTGCATCCCAGTTCCCTTGTCCCTGTGCCCAGAGCTCCCTGAGCCCAAAGGTGCCAGTCCCCACATTCCTGTCCCCA